CCCCCCCACCCCCCCCCACCCCCCCCCCCCCCCCCCCCCCCCAACCCACCCTCAGTTGTCACTTTTCTCCCTTTCTTCATTGTCCATTCACCCCACCCTTGCTTTTTGCCTGCCCTGTTCTGTTGCCCACTACCTGCCTTCTTCTATTGACCTGATTTGTTCCATTCCATTATTCTGTCTCCTCCATCTTCCCATTCCCTCTGCTCTGTTGCCCCTTCCTTTCACTCCCTTCCCTGTTCCATTGCCCCATTCAATTTTTTTCATGTCAAGTTTAAACATTTGTATTTTATTTAGCTGATAAAAGTTCTAAATGTTCAAGTTTTCGGATTTATATTTCCTCAGCAACCAATTGAATATGAGTGTGTTTCCGGCAGCTGCACTGTCCTTCCTTTAAAGGAGTTCCACACAAAATATTCAAAATTTTACATAGTCTCACCATTATCTCTTGAAGTTTTTTTTAAAACTTCCTTATCAACTTGAGGTGCTACAATTAATATCCTGTGAACATGAGCCAGCCTCCTCCTCTTTTGTCTTGGAGGTTTTATACCTGCTTTTATTCAAAAGTCTGACTTCTGTTGTTTCACTTCGTTAAATGATTTTGGTTTGGGAAGGGAGACTGTGTTTTCTTTATACAAATACTAAGGTTATAACACATTTCGATGAAACCCAACTGCTGGAAATGAACACGTTCAGCAGTGTCTGAAAGTAGGGAAAACAGCTTAGATGTCTCATTAGTTTTAGATGTAGACGCCTCATGAAAGCCAGATTACAACATTAATCTGTCTCTTTCTTTTGAGGAACCAGCTGTGTTTGTATAGCAATTACAGTTTATATCGGATACCCAGTTCTCTTTTATCTCACATCATGTAATTATTCTACATTGCCTGTGTAATCAACGCCCCTTTTTGTATAGTGCAGGGTGAGAACTGACTAACAATTCCTCCTTGTTACAGTTCGGGGAGGCCTACCCTGTCTGCATACCATTTAGGCACTGCCTAAATGTTTCTATTTTTGTTATAGAATCACATCTGTCCCAGCTCACCTTTTTAAAAAAAAGCTATCTATTCATTAGT